AATCATTTGTGATCAATTTTCTGTGATAAACGAGCTTCTCCGTACTTCGTTTGCTGTTTCAACAGTAAAAGAAAAGCATTTGCTTTTCTACTTTATCTTCGTCCATCTTCGAGAGAAGCAAATTTACTTTATCTTCTTCCATCTTCAAAATACCACAACTCCGAGAAGAAACTAGCAATTGCAACGAATAGACTTTCAAAAGACACCTGAAAAAATCAGCTCTCGGAACATACGCGAACCTCGTCGAGTTCCATTTGTTCAAACGTATTCAAACACTATCGATCAAGAATCGTCACGAACCTTCCTCTCAACCGAATAGTATATTCGTCCCAGTCGTAACTTAAACTTGACCGTCTCTGTTCGATCCTCAACCCATTGAGACCGAAAAACGCTGAAAGTTTAATGCCGAACGGTTCGATCCCATTTCCAAATTGTCGCCGTTCGACGCGCGGCGTTTATAGACCACGAGCGTTTCTCCAACATTTCAATGAGCCGCGTATTCTCCTCATCCTCCGTCACGTGCCCGACGGATAAAACTTTTATTTACGACCTTATTAGCGGTATCGACGTGAATCGAATGTACCAAACCACGCGCGTGTACGTAAGACGCGAGACGGAAGAACAATTGGGTCGCGTGTGTCGCGTCTTCGCGTCGCCAAAAGTGTTTCGACATTTTTCTCGAGCAAACCACCAGCCGCCGCGTGGCCGCCAGCCAAATTAATCCAGAATGACCTACATAAAATTGCTGATTACATCTCGTTATGTTTCCCTCATCGCTGAGCCCAGGCCATTGTTTGTTCACGGTTATTGAATGTTTGCTCGCACAGCTCGAACGGAAAACCTCTCTCGACTTGTTGTTCTAAGGCCAGTTCCTTCTGATTCCGATGATAGAATTTGGAAATACTGGGATTGATTTACGTGTAAAGGAATTGGAATTTACGTGAATAATTTTTTTTTACGCTGGAGGTTCAATTTTAGTCGATAAATGCGAATTAGCTCGTGAACTACGTGAAAAATGGTTCGGAGAAAAATTGAACGGATTCGAGGTGTAATCATTTTTTCAGAATTATTGCTTCACTATGTTTGAAGGAAAAGACCACAATAAACGTTGTTTTTCTATTTCTTATTCCTATTATCGACCGTTATTATTCATGTCGTGATTTGTATAGATAAAAACGAAATTGGTCATTCTGAACAGAAAACTAGTCGTACGAGTAAAGATTAGGGTCAGAATGGACCCAGTGTAGTCGTTTGCGACGTAAACCCGCGTTACATTACCTTGAATTTCAGAAACTAACTGAAAATGCGTTCTTTTCGTACCTTCTTTTACCCTTTTTGCTTCACTGTTGTATCTCCTTATGGTTCATTTTTTTATTTATATCGACGTTTATAAATATTCGGTAGGATAATGATAATTTTTGAAATGAACGATTTCTGACACGATTACGAGAACTTGAAATTTCTTACTTCAGATTTATCTCGATCTTTATTCAAATGAACTAACATACTTCGATTAGAAATCTTACGGAAGAAAATCAACTTAGTTACGATTGCAGTGCGAAGTTATGAATAACAGGTTTCAACAAGACGATTAATTTATTACGTCGATAAAAAAAATTGGAGGATGATTAGCAGTAGGTATATATGAAAGATAAATGATGTTCGGCCGATTCGATGAGATTTCTCTTGGCTTCGAGATTTTATAGCTGGTGTTACTTTATCTGCACTTTCGCTAGTTGTGTTTAATGATGTATAACTACTGAGTTTATGTAAATGCGAGCGAAGCCTGTATGTAGTTACGTCAATTGAGAGAAACGTACACCTTTTCCTCGTTGCATTTCTGTAATCTATTTTCTTCGATTTTTCCCCGGAGATCTACTTAGATAAAGCTATTTTTCAGAAGACCGACTTAATCTTCGATTTCTACAAACTTAAGCGAAAACAAATTTTTAATAAACATCCTTATAATAAGATAATAATTTATAGCGATGTTAATGTAATGATTTTTAGTAAAAATATTTTTAATATAAATCATATTAACATCGCTATAAATTCACTAGAACATTCCAATAATGCTTGGAAAATTTTTATCGTAATATTTCTACCACTTCCTTTACACAGGTAATAAATTTCATGCTACGTGATTATTCAATTAACATCTGAAGTAATTCTCAAGTAAATGAAAATTATAATATAATTATTCCATTTAGTAGTTGCTCATATTAAATTATTTTCCTAATACCTAGTGTCCTCCCTTTTTAATTATCTTTTAGTTTTAACTAAACGAAGAAACATTTCATGTAGCACAAAATTCCTTTTAAAAAAAATGTTTACTAAAAATTTCAAAAAATTAAGAGTGGTTGGTGTGCATTTTGAAAAGCAAAAAATGTTTCTCGAAACTGTCGAAAAATGAAGAGTGGTGGCTGTAAATTAAAAAAAAAAGGTTCTCGAAAATGTCGAAAAATGAAGAGTGGTGGCTGTAAATTAAAAAAGGAATAATGTTTTTCGAAAATTCTTTACCACCACAATGTAGGACATCAAAAAAGGAATTTATAATTTAACTTTTTCCCATATGTTACACGGTTTCGCAAATATTCACGGTAATATAAAAATTACCATAAATTCACATTAAAATTAAATTACAGTAAATAAAAAATCACCCTTTCGTAGATATTCACAATTTCTTTGAGAAAGTGTTTTCACCACCAGAACAATTTCATTACCGAAACAAGAAAATGGTTACCTAATTAGCGTCACTTGAACTAGATTTCTGCAAAGTTTCAAATTATTTAGAATTTTCGGGTTAGCGAACTTCCCTCGTGATTTATTCAACCTACTAAAATACAGAAACTGCAATCGGGAAACGCATCGGTGTACAAGTAAGTTCTTTTGTTTCACACAATGTAGAAAAGCAGAATACTGTGTCTGTGATAAAAAAAAAAAAGAAAAGAAAAGATTTACATTTTGAAGAAAAGTAACAAGGAATTATTCGAGAGAATCGAACGCGGCGGAACTGCAGAGAAATCTCCGCAAAGGGGGTTGCTGCAGCGACTGCAACGGCGTCTTACAAAGATTAAATACGCTCATTGCGTTACACGTCACGTAATCGTCTAAAGGTTTCTTGCTTCACAGAAATTCTCTTCATTCACAATTAACCCTCGTTTATTACACAGGATTATATAATATATGTAATCCAAAGTTCCGTCGCAAAATCCGCGAACGTATGTATCTTAGGCTTGAAAGCTAACGACAAAAAATGTATAATAAACGCAGGTCTTAAAACCATTAGTCTGTGAAGTACTGCTGCTCTTGAATTATACATGAGACTTTAAAAATTCACACGAGCAATGAAACGAATACAAAGGAATCTTGTCGACGATCGTTGAGAAAATATTCGAAAATTACAGCAACGCATACACAGAATATCTGCGGTGTCATAAAAAATCGGATAAAATCGTTGAAACAATTTTCGATTTTAAAGTGAACTCCATACTTCGAAGCAATCTAATTTCTTTATTCTGTAAGATAAGATACGCGACTTTAATCCTTTCGTGATGCGTTTGCGCCGATATGCGTTGAGTACGCATATGTTCCACTTGATTACTGTTGGATTATAAAGAGAAAGGAGTATGTGTCTGTGTAATAGTAACGGCAAAAATAATCAACATCTTGATTACTCAAACAAAAATTAACTTCAATTTAGGAGCCGTTAAAAAATGACAAACACGATGATCGGTAGATAAATGACAAATTCTTGAAAAGAATAACGCGGTCACGAAAGGATTAACCCACTTAAATTTCAGGACCTTTCCCTTGTCAAGGCAACAGTAAAACTGACTATGGTCCCGTATCATCGAACCCTATACGACTGACCGTGTACTATTCTTAGTTTGTAATGAAATATCAGAGTAAAAAGGATAATACACAGCGTGTATTATCATTGTTTTCATTATTAGCACTCCGATCAACATTTTTTTGTCATAGAGAATACGATTTCAAAGGACCTTAGATTTTTTTACGTCCATTTGTCTATTTTTGGGTTTTGGGGATTTTGGGATGTCTCTCTTTTAAATAAATTCTCAATGTCACGTTTGATTTTTTTCATACATAAATTTTGTATATAAAAGAACGTATTATATTGCGATCGTTGAATTCGTCTCGATGCCTGCTAGCTAATAGGCAAAAAAAAAAAAAATACTGCAGGTTCATAAGGAGGAAATAAAAGAAAAAAAGTATAGAAGTTCTCGGGACAGTTAGCGAACTGTGCAACACACGCTCACGCGATAAAAACCCTATTGAAATAAAGTCTTACTGTGCGGAGCTCAGGAGTTTGCCCCCGGGTCGGCACAGGGGCAAGAAGGGCATTTTGCCCGCAGCTAGCGAACCTTCCGCTACGCGGTGCTACAGGTTTTGCACTCCCAATTAATCCTTTTCTTGATCATATTCCCCCTTTTGCAAATCAAATTCGCCCATTTGCAGATCATATTCACCTTTTTGCACTGTAAATTCACACTTTTGCAAATCAAGTTCACCTTATTGCAAATCAAATTCGCCCTTTTGCAGATCATATTCACCTTATTGCAAATAAAATTCGCCCTTTCATAGATCAAATTCACCTCGTGAGTGACTCAAAAGTGAAGTACAATAACATGTATACGATTCGATTCGTCGATGTTATCGCGTTCAGCCAATAACCGCGATACCTGTGCTCTATTTCTACGACTGTGTTAGAAAAGGTGGGCTTACGGGGATACGACCGAACCGAACCCGCGTTCCTTCCAGGGGCAAAACTCCCGAGCTCTACACAATATGTATAGTACTTAACTTTACGCAGTTGTAAACCCATACGTTCCAATCCCGGCAGACGTTATCCGCGAGATATTCCGCGTCGCGATGCAAGTAGGTTAAACTCTGCTCTCTATACTATACCTAACTCTGCATATCGAAGCAAAACTGTGGAAGGATAAATAAGAGAGGGAAATCTTTTGGACGTGTTGCAGCGTGTCCAGGCGAGCAACGAAAGATTCTGGTGTTGCTGAATCCAAAATCGGGTCCAGGAAGGGGTCGAGAAACATTCCAGAAGAGGGTCCATCCGATTCTATCGGAAGCCGAGAGGCCTTACGAGATCCACATCAGCAAGTGTCCCAATTACGCGCGCGAGTTCGTGCGTACGAGGGACATCTATCAATGGAGCGGGCTGCTGATGGTCGGGGGGGACGGTATCGTGTTCGAGGTAGTGAATGGGCTTTTCCAGAGGCCCGATTGGGAGAAAGCTCTGAGAGAATTGCCCCTTGGCGTGATACCCTGCGGTTCCGGTAATGGCCTGGCGAAATCCATCGCGTACGCTAAACAGTAAGTCCCTTTTAGGATCATCCCGAGTCTCTGATTTATTTTATGTGTCTGGCTTGGACGTTCCAAGGAAGTCGTTATTTCCGTTTGCCACCGACTCGTTCGATTTATTTGCATGCATTGCAGCGAGAGGTGCTTCTGAAATTTCCACAGCCAAGCCATTTGTTATTTTAAACGTTCTATTGTTTACTGTAAGTACGGTGCTTTGTTGGAATTTTATATTTTGTTTAAATAATTCTTTTCTTTCTTTTTTTTTTTTTTGTAAATTTCTTTTGGAAATTTATAGTTATATACAGGGTGGGCCACGTAGAACTGGTCACCTGATTATCTTCTGTAGTTACGCTGGTACGAGATGATTTTTATACGTAATTTGAATGGTTTCGAAGGGTTAGGCAAAAACTAAAAGGAAGTTTCTCGTTTGATTGAAAATTTCAGAGTCCAAGGTCCATTTTAAGGTCACATTATTATAAAATGTTTCAATGTACAAAAGAATGTGTGCATTAGTTTAAAAAACATAGGTAATCTTGAAAAAGGTGACATTTGTAAAGAAATCTCTGATGGAAAAAATGAAAAGAAGTTTCGCATTTGATTAAAAATTTTGAAGTCCAAGGTCATTTTAAGGTATTTTCAAGGTGCAAAAACATAGGTGACTTGGAAGAAAAAAAAAAAAAATGGAAAAGATGGCACATTTGAAAAACATTTTTCTTCCACCTTATTCACACTTTGAAATCATTTAAATTACCATATCTTAGAGAAGACAATTAGATGGCCTGTATCACGTGGCCCACCCGGTACACAGTTGAGTAATGTCATTGAACTTCGATCGTGCGAAATATTTCGCGTTCGAAAGGAAAATCCTAAGCGTTAAGTGTGTACATGGTTGGAAAGTGTTTGAAGCAGAAGTTGAACGGTTGCATAAATAAGTTATCGGATATTGAATCGCGTGCAGAAGGGACGATCTGATAGTTAAGATATTTAAAGAAAATACCAGTAAGCTTTGTATATTACAATCTATACCGTATTGGTTCATTGTATCGAATATTGGTACAGTGCAAAGGGTCAATTATTCAAATGTACGCGACATAACATCGTTTAATAGCCGTCACTGTTGCCAATTCGTCTCTTAAATTGGTATGAATTTCGTGGCATGCAAGTTGCAATCTTTAAACGTAGACTTTGTTGTAAGTGCATGTTTCGTGTACCTAATTTCTTTCAATTTTGTTGAATTTTCAAAAAATGAAAAATAAGAAAGACCGACAGGTGTTTGAATCGTGTAAAGTTGTGTACGATCGAAAATTTTTAATTGATATATACAGTGGATTCCGGTTAATTGGGACGCCGGTTTATGCCGTGTTTATTTACTTATTTTTCATTACTTATTAATGTTATTTTATTACTTATCGTTAGCTTTGTTTACATGCTTAAACACACATTTGTATTCAAGACCGAATATTACATACGTTTTCCGATAAATCGTTTTTTGGCTTCATTTTTCACGTTGTTCAGATTTTGCCTGTTGAAATTCGCTTTTTTGGGACAAATTAGTCCGGTCCCGATGTGTCCCAATTAACCGAAATCCACTGTATATTGTACTTTTTTGTGATCCATTAGGATCATTAAGTTTTGACGATACGTCGATTAGTTTTTAGTTGGTAAAGGAATTTTTCCGTAAACGAACTGGCAATTTTCTAACGATTACAGGTCATCAACGACGTAACGCATGCAACAAAATTTCATGTTGTTAACGAGCGAACGATAACTCGGTCGAGCACCGTAAACTAACTATAAATCGACCCAATTTCGATTTAGCTATTAAAGCACTAGGGGCTACACGTGTCCCTGCATTTTCGTCAAATTAAATTTGCTTTCA